ATCATTGAAGATTTCCTGGTCAAGCAAGCATCATCTCTTGCCATACTTCCTATCTTTCCTGTGCAGTGGGATAGTTTGCTCTTATGCCCTTAATGTCGTCTCTAAAAAAACTACCAACTCTCTCAAACTGTTTTTCCCCTTAGACTTGCTTCCCATGGAATCTTATCTACCAGTTTCCTGAGTTTGCTAAAGTCTGTCTTCTTGAAATCCGTGGAAACTTTTTAAAGACACCATAATAGAGGCTCAACTTAAATGTATACCCCAATTTAAAAAACATAGTAAGAGAACCAAAAAAGAGACACCACGGTTAAACAAGTAAAAGAAACAGTGAGAGGCAAAAAGGCATCCTTTAAAACAGACGTGGGCAAACTACGGCCCGCGGGATCATCCTGCCTGGCCCCTGAGCTCCTGGCCAGGGAGGCTAATCCACGGCCCTTCCCCCGCTGTCTGCCCTTCCCCACAGCCACGCAGGCCGCACTCTGGCCTGCCGCTCCCGCTGGGCAGCGTGGGGAGCGCAGCTGGCTCTGGCCGGGTGTCGCGGCTGCGAGCTCCTGCTGTTGGTAAGGGGGCAGGGAGTGGGGAGTTATGGGGGGCAGTCAGGGAGGAGGGGGCGGTTGGATGGGGCAGAGGTTCTGTGGGGGTGGTGGTCAGGGGATGGGGAACAGGGAGGGTTGGGAGTGGGAGTCCCGGGGAGCCTGTCAGGAGGCGGGGATGTGAATAGGGATACATGACACCTTTCCCTTACTTAGCCAAATGAAGACTCTAATCATGAATAAAAAAAAATAAAAAAATTAAACATTTGAAATTATAGTAACAGTACAAACATTCAAAATTTCCCCCTCCTGGCAATCCTTAAAATGGAATTAACAACCAGTGATAGGAATAAAAATGTCTTGGAAATGGGTAGAAAATTTTTCTCATTTATTCCCAGAGCTTCTTAAGCATTTTAAACGTGTCACAACTAAGATTATTATTAGCCTCCCCATGTAAGAAAAAAGGGAAATTCACAAAGTGCAAAATAATATGTTTTGGGGTATTTTCCAGACTCTAGATTCTCCCACATAAAAGCAGTATTATAACAATCAAAGTTGGTTGAAGCCTGAAGAGAAGGCAATTTCATTGCTGCTTCACTCTCTTTTTATAATAAAAGGGATGTAGTCTTTTGAAGATATTTTACCAGCGTCCCCAGGCCAGACACAGTGAAATGAATTAGATCCAACTTCTGATCTATCTGTAACAAGGGCTTACCTAGTGATTCTAAAGGAACTTTTTCAGATTGATCAAACAGGGGATGGAGGTTGCCGCAAGCCCCTAAATCTTTATATTAACAACTGCTTATAGGTTACAGATGAGATTTCCCCTGTAGATGACATCTGCTAAGGACTGAAAAGTACCCGAGGCCCCATGTTAATTGTAGGGCATAGAGAAGTTGAATGGCTGTGAATGTGACATAGCAAGACAGAGACAAAGCTGAAAACGAAACCCAAGAGTCCTGATTCTAGTCCTGCTCTAACGAATGAACACCACATCCACCTACAACCAGGGGGAATAGAATTCATGGCCCGATTGTCTCCTGCGCTAACCATTAGACCATTCTGCCCCTTGAATATTCCATTTGTCTTGCTCATTTTTCTCTATGTGACTCACAGCAATGGAATGCTTTGCCAAGGAAGCAGAAAAAAATATATATATAAGCCCCGGTGGTGCTAATAGCTGACTCTTTGGCATTACCTGTTTGTTAAAACAACAGTCTTGATCTCCAGTTATTAAGTGGTTTTAATTAATGCCCTCAGTCTTATCCATGTGACCCCAATGCTCCTTTCATTCAGTTTCAACATGAAGCCCTGATGGGTTTTTATGCAGTCAGAATGGCCTCCTCACAACTACATAGCATGGATTCAGCAACTTAGGGCTAGTCTACACTGGCAACACTAAAGCGCTGCCAAGGCAGTGCTTTAACGTGGCTCATGTAGTTGCGGCAGAGCTAAAAAAAACTACCTCCACGAGGGGCGTAGCTCCCAGAGCTGGTGCACTGTCTACAGTGGCGCTTTACAGCACTGAAACTTGCTGCGTTCAGGGGGGTGTTTTTTCACCCACCTGAGCAAGAAAGTTGCAGCACTGTAAATTGCCAGTGCAGACAAGCCTTTAAACTGAGTGTTGGGATAAGTGAACTGGCAGCAGTTTGAGGCACCAGGAAGAATATGGTTTAGGGGAGTGAGGCTTCTCCACTTAGCAGATGGATAATGAACAACAAAGATCTTTACTGTATACACGGTAACACAAAAGCCAATCTGGAAGCTGTCACTTTTTTCACAGATCAGAGGACAGAGGGGCCAAAAGGAAAAAAAAGAGGCCAAAGACAGACAGGGCTGGAATAAGGGAAGACAGCAGCAACACAAGAGATTTGGAAATCCTATCCCCAAGTGCAGAGATAGAGAGACTCGTGTCCCCCAAAAGCCCCTCAAGTAGCTCAGAATCTAAGAGATCTCCCTGAATTTGCAGGGAAAGGTTCCCCAGCACTGAGGGGTTTTTAGAGGGCATGAGTCTCTATCTCTGGGCTTGGGGATAAGATAGTCAAATCTCCAAGCTTCTTTGATTGAAGTTTAGCGAAAATAAAGTCTCTTCTACAGGGGAAAATAAAGATATTTGTCCAAGTGCATTTTTGTGGGGGAACTCCACCTCCTTCTACTTGTGGCTCAGAAGAGCAGGGTTTCAAGGGGGGGGCAGAGAACAGTCTCTCCCCTCAGGTCAGGTTTTTGTTTCATTTTGTTTTTGAGAGGAGGGGCAAAAGTGGTAAATTCTTCCTAGGTAGCTTTTTGTAGGTTCAAGTTGGAAGAAGTTACCCCAAATCTGTCCCTCTCCCCCTCAGCACTACCACTTTCTACATAGACAATAATCTGTCAAGTGTCTACTACAGTAATTCTCAAAACCCAGACTCCCACTAAACAACTGATAAAACCTACACTTATGCACATGAATGATCTAAGCATGCCATCATCCACATAGATCTGTCGAAGCATTTACACCTACTAGAAACATATCTGGTAGTCTAGTGATTAGGATTTGGCGCACTCACTGCCACAGTCAGGGTTCGTTTCCTGGTCAGGGAGAGAAACTTGTTGTTGGTCCTGCTTTAAGCAGAGGGTTGGACTAGATGACCTCCTGAGGTTTCTTCCAACCTTAATCTTCTATGAGCTCAACATATTAACATAAAAGGTCAACATCGATAAAATAAGAGTTATGATCTTTCAGGATAAGTCACAAAACAAAAAGGTTTTATAATAAAACGGCAATTTAAGACATCTTAAATTAAATATACTTAAGCTGGATCATAAGTGGTTCAGGGGATTTCAAACTAGTTATAAAAGAATTACAGAAACCTCTGCAGGACCTACTATGCCACAAAGAAACCACTAGATAGATACAATCACCTCCCATTCTACTACTGATTAAGGGAGCAAGTCTGTGGCCCAGCTTTGTCAGAAAAGTATACATAATGGCACAAGCTCTAAGGCTATGTCTAGACTAGCACTTTAGTCCATCAGGAGTGTGAAAAAACACATCTAACCGACCGACATAAATTTCACCAACAAAAACACCAGTGTAGATAGCGCTATATTAGCAGGAGACACTCTCCCCCACCATTCGTGGGGGATGGCTTAATTAAGCGGACAGAAGAGCTGTCTCCTGTCGGCATAGAGCAGCTACACGATGCGAGACCTTACAGTCTGTGGTGTTGACATAGCCTAAATAGAAACCTTCCACCTACAGTCCTGCAAACAAAATTCTACATGTACAGCAGAATAGGAGTCACAGACCAAAAGTAAGATGAACCCCACCCTCGTTAGCATATAAAAAAACAACAACTGCACTTCTGGCTCCATCTCAGCTAAAGCAGCAACAATCCTACTGCAAAGCAATGAAGGAGCAAAATCTAAATCTGAATAAGCACTTATGAATGGATTAACAGCAGTCCCAGATCTCCCAATATTAACCTCCAACCAACGGAGGAAACTTCTCCCAGAATAACTGAAATGAACAGCAATCAGGACACTACATCAAAACCCAGAACACTAATTAATGCAGTGGTTCTCAACCAGGGTACATGTACCCCTGGTGGTACACAAAGATCTTCCAGGGGGTACATCAACTCATCTAGATATTTGCTTAGTTTTACAACAGGCTACATAAAAAGCACTAGCAAATTTAGTACAAACTAAAATTTCATACAGACAATGGCTTGTTTATGCTTCTCTATATACTAGATACTGAAATGTAAGAACAAATTTATAATCCAATTGATTCATTTTATAACTATACAGTAAAAATGAGAAAGTCAGCTATTTTTCAGTAACAGTGTGCTATAACACTTTTGTATTTTTATGTCTAATTTTGTAAGCAAGTAGTTTAAGCGAGGTGAAACTTGGGGGTACACGAGATAAATCAGACTCCTAAAAGGGGTACAGTCGTCTGGAAAGGTGGAGAGCCACTGAATTAATGTATCTGGAAAAATTAGATCAAAATCCACACACTACAATGCAACGGCTCCCTGCACAGAACTACCACACTAACCTCCCTGCCACAAAATGGGAAGAGCTAAAGCAGGCTCCCACCAAATACGAATCCTATCCATAAGCTAGCGGCGGACGCTGGGAGACACAAAGCACAGCGCGACCGGAGAGGGGAACAACCCTCCAGCCAGCGAAGAGACTGAGCCAAAGGGAGCGCCCGGCCCGGATCCCAAGCACGGAGGGTGAGAACCTGCCTCAAGTGACCGGCCACGAGCACAGACTGCCCCGAGCACACGGGGAGGGGAGCGAGCAAGAGCCAGCTAAGACAGAGCCTGTCCCTGAGCCAGGACCCGGGAGGATCCCGGCGAGTGTCTCCGGGTTCGCGGGGGGGGGGGGTCTCTACCCGGGCTGGGGGCACAGCTCCGCACTGGGGGCCCGGGAGGGGGAACAACCCCGGGCTTCCCCTCGCGCCCCCTTCTTAACACCTACCCCGCTGCCCGACGCCATGTTGAATGTGAAGTGAATAAGGAACCAGAAAATGCCGTACTCCGGCAGCAAAAGTCGTAAAGTGAGCCAGTCCTCCCGGATACCATAGAGCGGCGGCCGCGGTAGCTAGAGAGTAACGTCGTTCTCTGAGATGAGACGGGGAGTGGCGGCCGGAAGAGGATGTTCAGGGTTGCGTAGGCCGGGTGCCTGCGGTTGGAGTATGAGTAACTTTGTGCCTCTCTGGGAAGTCTTCTGAGACTCCATGGTTCCAGATAGTCTTCCCCGGTGGTGACCCGGAACAGCTCTGTCCGGTTGGCTCCGGGACGCTCTAGTTCTGCGGAAACGCACTATAGGTCCTGAGACTCTATGGCTGCAATGAGGCTGAATCCTGCATGCAGGGTGTCAGTGCAGAAGAGTGTCCCTGGCCCCAGCGCTGCTCCTGCCTCCCCCGGGGGGCTCCCGGTCAGCTTGTGGCCCTGCGGAGCTCGCTGGGGCCGGGGCGCTGAGGTGCCTGCGCCAGCCCCAGTCCCGCACGCGTGTCTCGCTCCCGCTCCCGGCTGTGTAGTCTCGGGTCTCCCCGCACACAGCGCAAGGCCGGGGCGAGTTCTAGCCAGGAGCCTTCGGACAGCGGCCTGCGGGATCCAGCTACCTCCTGAGACATGAACTGGCTGCGCCCGCTCGCTGCGGGGGGCTGCCGGGTGCCCTTCGGGGGCCAGCACCTGGCACCGTCCTGCGCCCGGCGAGCCTTTGCTGCCCACCCCCAAAACCAGGTGAGGCCCGCTCCGGGTGGCGGGCCCTGCTCCAGCCCCGAGGTTCTGTCCGCTTCTAGCGGACAAGGCTTTGTCTTTCAGACGGGCTCTGATTCCCGGGAGGAGACGGGGGAGGTCGGAGCCTAAGCCAGGCAGAGCCCACGAAGCTGTAGAGAAGCAATCAGCTGCATGGGGCTGGCACCTGGATCCTAACTCAAGTTCTGTTTCCATCTTTATTGATGGTGAAAGCATCTCCCGGGGTGTTGTGTGTGAATGAAGTAATTAATGTGTCCAACTGACTTTCAAGGTATTAAGTGCTATGTGAGCACTAAGTGTTACTATCAGGGTGTGCCCTGAATACAAACGGACAGTCAGCACGGACTAGAGGTTCCAGTGTGTGAGGATCTATTTCAGGGGTCTGCAACCTTTCAGAAATTGTGTGCCGAGTCTTCATTTATTCACTCTAATTTAAGGTTTCGTGTGCCAGTAATACGTTTTAACGTTTTTAGAAGGTCTCTTTCTATAAGTCTGTAATATATAACTAAACTATTGTTGTATGTAAAGTAAATAAGGTCTTAAAAATGTTTAAGAAGCTTCATTTAAAATTAAATTAAAATGCAGAACCCCCCGGAACAGTGGCCAGGACCCGGGCAGTGTGAGCGCCTCTGAAAATCAGCTCGGCATGCGTGCCATAGATTGCATACCCCTGCTCTATCTTGATCCCGACTAAAGGACTGGGATAGATGAAGGCAGCAGATCCCAGGCAAGTTGCCAGTGCAGCCCTCTGATGGGCAAAGTTTGGAGTCCACCTGTTGCAGGCTCCCTGCAGACTGTCCAGTAGTTCTGGCAGGGATTATTCTGGCTGGATAGAAAGTGATGATAATTCAGATTTGGGAGCCTTCTAATTTATCTGAAAAGCCAAAACAAACAACTATATTTTCTACTCTGTAGTCAGTGGGTGTCAATGGCTCCCAGATTCCTGTGCACGCTAATGGGCTGTTAAGAATCCATTGGCTGTCCTGCTAACGTTTAAAATGTCAAATGCAAAAAAAACTAGGAAAAGCAAGGACTTGAATTACAGTGGAGCTGTTATTTGCAGTATTATTGTAGCCGTGTCAGTCCCAGAATATTAGAGAGACAAGGTGGGTGAGATAAGTATATCTTTTATTGGACCAACTTCAGTTGTTGGAGGGTACAAGCATTCAAGTTACAGAGAGCTCTTCTTCAGGTCTGGGGAAGGAAATCAGATTGGGAACTGATAAGGGGGAAGAACTTCATTCTCAAAACCCCAAAGGTAACTGCCACCTCCTTATAGTGGAGCTGTTAGTAACTAAGGAAACCTGCAGGCCTTGTAGGTCCACCAGTTGAATTGACATCAGACAGACACTCAGGGGCCAGTGTCCTACTCCATTTATCAAAGCCTTTTCTCTGTCCCCAGGTGGCAGAGGGTGTGGTAAAGCTCCAGCAGCCAAAGGCACAGCCAAGAACTGATGAGGGGAAAAAGAACTTCATTCTGAAAACCCCCAAGGTAACTCCCCACCTCCTTCAGGCAGCTGGGTCTCTCATGGGTTGCTTCCTCTCCTGGTTACCCCACCCCATCTCTACTGACATACGGCTTAGGTGTTCCCACCACTGAAACAAACTGCCCCTTTCCTGCTTGTTATCCTGCTCTTTATGTAGGGTGCACAGTTTTTCCTCAGCTCCAGCCTCTCAAGCATAGGCGCCGACTCCGTGGGTGCTCCAGGGCTGGAGCACCCACGGGGAAAAATTGGTGGGTGCTTAGCTCCCACCAGCAGCTCCCCTCCCCTCCCCGCCCCACCCCCCATCCCAGCTCACCTCCGCCTTCTCCCCTGGGCGCACCGCCTGCCTGCTTTTCCCCCATGGCTCCCAGCGCTTGCGCCGCGAAACAGCTGATTCACGCAGGAAGTGCTGGGAGGGAGGGGGAACGCAGCATGCTCGGGGAAGAGGCGAGGCCAGGGCCGGGATTTGCGGAAGGTGTCCAATAGGGGCAGGGAGGGGCAGAGTTGGGGTGGGGACTTTGGGGAAGGGGTTGGAATGGGGGCAGGGTGGGGGGGAGGCAAAAGCACCGACCGGCGTGGGGGAAAGTTGGTACCTATGCTCTCAAGCCTAAGGCTCTTTCTCCTTTTCCCATTCTGTTCCCTCTTCCCAATTGACTCTTATGCCTAAGGGCATATCTAAACGAGGAATTCGTGCATGACAAATGGGGGCATAAATCTACAATGCTCCAGCATGCCACATGCCAACTGCTCATGTGGACCCTGTGCACTAAAAGTTCCCTAGTGTATCAAACAGCAGTAGGTCCAATGGATCATCAACTTCCATTATTCTAGGCCTAGCTGACCCTTGTTATAGCACCAAACTTTTGGGCTCAGAGCTTTGAGCAGCCACAGGAGCTGGGAACAGTTTAGATATTGGATGTTTTTACTGTTGCAGGGTGGTGGGTATAATTCTTCACTTTTAAGATTTCTCATGCACTTCCCGTTGGTTTGGGCTCTCAGGGCACCAGGGACTACAGCCCCAAGCAAATGGCCATCCGGGAGAGAGTCTTCAACACCATCATCAGCTGCTTCAAGCGCCATGGGGCTGAGGTCATCGACACCCCTGTGTTTGAGCTGAAGGTGAGAGTAGGGGCTGCGACGTGACATCTGGGAGGGGGAAGTTGTGCTGCTGGAGGCGCTGATCCCTGAGTCAGATGTGATCCATGGGTTTGTGGCTTTATGCCCCTTGAAATCATTGGGTGCATTTTAAGTGGCAGTAGCTGCTTTAATTGTGACCTGAAGGGCAGATGCCCTAAGAACTCAGCTGTGAACAGCTCCTGTGGCAAGTGAGCTTCTGTGGTAAAGCTGGAGGGGATTAGATCATCTGACCGGGGTTAGATCCAACTGATCACCTCTAAAATCAGGCTCAAGGATTCTCCCTGCTTTCTTTCTAGGGGCTTCTTGCTCCTGCTTTCTGCTTCTGGAGCTCGTCCTCTCTTGCCTGACACAGTTGTCTTGCTTTTCTGTAGGAAACTCTGATGGGGAAGTACGGGGAGGACTCAAAGCTCATCTATGACCTGAAAGACCAGGGGGGAGAGCTGCTGTCTCTTCGCTACGACCTGACTGTATCCTGCCAGAGTCCCAGACCTTGGGAAGCACCACCTCATCCAGGGGTTGCTAGTGTTTCTTAGGCAAGAGTGCATGGGGTGGAGGTGAGGACATGCTGGAGTCTCTGTCACCTCCTCCTAGTTGGGGAGGAATATGCATGCTAATTCCACTTTGTATACATTCATCCCATTCCTCCTCAATGTTTCCAAGCCTACCTGTAACTGCCTTCATGCCATTGCCCATGGACACCTCTGTCTTGACTCATCCTCATCCAAACTTCCATCCCTCCCACCTAGACTACTGTAGCTCCGGCTCTAGGATCAGCTCAAGTCCCAGCCTTTCCAACTCCAGCACATGGAGAATTACTACTCACCACTACACACCCAGAATGGTGACTACATCACCCCATCCTCAAAACTAGCTCCCAGGTGACTTCAGGGTCTGTACATAGAAACCGTCCATGGGCTTGCTCCAGTGTACTCCCTGGACATTGAACCTTCTCTCTCTACTCCCTTCCCCATCTGCCTGTGCTCATCTGGGCTAGCCTCCTTTCTGACTCTTCACACAACCTCCCTATTCTCAGTGAAAGAGCCGTTTCCTTTGTTACTGTTGCCAAATGGTCATCCATCCAGGACCTCCGTGCTTTACTGACTGCAGCTCTGTTAAAATTTCACCTGAAAGCATCTTTGCTCCCTTATCTCTGGCCTTTAATCTGTCACTGTATTATATATGTAATCCCAGTTTGTATCATAGCAGCAAAGGACCGCAACATCTGTTCAAATGACCCACCAATGAGGCTGTTTGTTCTGGCTGTTAACATGGTGTGATTTCTAAGAAGATGTGCTCATAGGGACTGAGATTTTACTGTCCATTAGGACAGGTGGCCACAGTTTGCAGGTGACTTTCAGCATGGGCTTTGCTGTGGGATTGTGTTGTAGTGGCCCAGCTGCTGTCTGTAGAGTGATAATTGGGCTGAATGCTGGCCCTGGACTCTCCAGGCCACAGGAGAGTCTTCTTACGTTCCACCCTTAACCCTTTGTGCTCAGGTGCCCTTTGCTCGTTATTTGGCAATGAACAAAATCACCAACATTAAGCGCTACCACATTGCCAAAGTTTACAGACGGGATAATCCGGCCATGACGAGGGGCCGCTACAGGGAGTTCTA